AGATACCGACATCGTTCGAATAATTCGCTTCTGCTTGCGGCATTCTTTGTTTTCTCAGCAGAGAGAAAAAAAAAAACATTGCAGTCGCAATTCTGCCGACCGTGACTGCCAAGGTGCATAAAAATTTCGCAGGTTTCGCGAGTTTTTCTGTTCGGATCGATGAAGCACGGCTGCTGCACTGCCCCACGCGCAAAGATCGAGAACGCAAAGATCGCGTGGCGCTTTTGTCCCTTTTCTCTCTTTCGGCTCTCTCAGGATAAAGCGAGCAGCCATTGTTCGTTGTCATTTCCCCGCTGATCCCGTTTCTGCGGTGATAGCGGAGGCTCGCGACGGCTTGGCCCAATGCCAACGCATTAAACAGCTAAGGCGTTACGTACCACGCGGTTGAAATCGATCGCCATTTGGATCTGTTTATGTAACTGTGGCGTAAATATGGCCAGCGTGTACACCGTGGATCTTGCCGATTAATCGTTACCGATAACGATAATTTCGTGGAATTTTAAGGAGATGAAGCGAGAGTCGAGAATGAAGACACAAAATTCTAGATGCTAGAAATTTTCTGCAGTACCTGAAAATCTGGAGATTTTAATTGAGAAGAGAGAAACAATAACATCTGTAAGCGAAGAAATAATATAAATGAAATGGGTATAATGAAATGTAAATAATATAAATTGAATGTGAATTAAATAGTTATAATTAAATGTAAATAATATAAATCAAATAGGTGTAATTAACAGAGGAGAGAGGAACAAAAACTCTGTAAGAAATAATATAAATTGAATAGGTATAATTAGTTAAATAAATAAATCAGGGATCTCTCTACTCCTAGGTATAGTGAAAATAGCAACTAGTCCTAAATTTAGTTAAAAAAAAAATTAATATGTGAAATGTACTTGTGTTACGTATCTCGTAATTTTTATGTATACGCGAGTGAGAATTGAAAGTTAATGTGCAGCTTGAGGGCACGTTGGCCTAATATTTCGCGTAAACTATTCGTTACGTCAATATCTGGAAACTTGGAAAACGGAGGGTTTAATTGATTCGGAGTGTTCTGCAGCAATCAGCCTTTAATCACCTTTGCGATATACTTTGGGTCTCGATCTTATTAAAAGATGACGAATCCGCGCAATTAAGCTTGCAGCTAAATTCAATTCCGAGGCAGAGAGATATCATCTTTGCTTCCAGTTCTATATTTTAGATGTGTCACTGTACATATTTAAAATGCAACAAATATTGTGCACCACTTGGTAATAACATACGAACTTCATTTTCGTGAGATCGATATTCACTTCTGAGTTACCGCGAGTGAGTATCCAATTTGAAACAGTATAACGTAATAATTATAAAAAAAAAGAATGCATAACAATTACAGAATAAACTGATCAAACAGAGAGGGGACTTAAATTAACAATTTGTGTTCCAATTTATGCATAACAGATAATAGTAATTCAAGACGTAAACAATAGTAAACAAATTCGCGATTCCTGTCTCGTCGCTATGTACGTTAGAGTTCGCAAGCATCGGTGGAAATATAGTGATTATGATAATTTATATTTATATCACAATACTATAAATAAATAATAACTCCGTAATTAATTTTAGTTGTTTATATAAAAATATTATCAATATCACAAAATATACAATTACTAATAATTTAAAATATTTAATGAAGATTACATAATGGAAGTTAAATGACGAATAATTTCTATAAATGAAAGTTAAATAACGAAATAACGAATGAAGAATTTCTACTATGGCTACAATA